TGCATAGAATTTTTGGCGAAATTTGTTTGATAAATTTTGTTGAACGCGCATTAAAGTTGACTGAATAGTTCCTTCAATTGGACCACTTAGTTGACAAGTGGTGTAAGTACAAAGTTATGAGAAAAGAGTTCATTGTTAGTTAGTATTGAGTATAGTTGTTTTATTCGTCGCTTAACATTGTGTATATTTTCTTTCATGTCGACATAAAATGAGGGTGATAATAAATATAGAGACATAATAATATAGTGACCATAACATTATCCGGAATAGTGGATGCACATATTGATTTACACTACTGCTACGTTCGACTAACACATTCTTACACGATAACTTTCCCCTATTAAGTAAATGTGGCAAGTGAATTCCTGTTTCTGTGGCTAAAAAGAAAGATATGCTGGATGTGCTGAAATCTATTCCACCAATTTATCATACCAGTTTCTCAAGCATTAGAAAGCATTGCGAACGTAGTCAGTGACAAGGAATGTAGCAACGAGAATGAGTTTCTTTAATATTTTATTCATAATATATAATGTAATAATATACTGTGTTCATTGCGAAGCGTACACTACTTGTAGTACTTTAAAAATGAGTTAAAAAAAAGATTACTTCTACATTAATTGCCCCGTGGCTTAAGTCTCTTTCCTGCAAGAAAGAGTTATAATAATTCAATACAATAATGGCACTCGATTATTCGTTACGATATCGTCAAAAGAAATGTAGTTTTTCCTTCAAATTATGTTAACATAATTGCTATTCTTTCTCTTCATTTTCTTACAATAAAGCTACGCTTTGTTCTTAATTTTTTATGAACTATTACACACTTGCCTAATTTTCTCAGCACTCAGAGCTTCGATTAGCGAGCATTAAATGCGACTAGTTCGTATTGCCTTTTAAAATATCGGGATAAACATGTAGCAAACGACCATGAAAACATACACGTTTGGTAATTCTATCGTCGATCCAGCTTCTTGACTTCTTGCTTTTCGTTTCAAAGCCGAGTAAGTTGCGTCGAAAAATACTGGATGCAAAGGAAGCTCGCGCTACATTGTGAACCGACAGAGCTTTGGCAGTCGATTTCTTCGTTAATTCGCGGCTTCAGCGATCGATTCGTCGCTAATCCCGCGCGGATTGTAAACTTTCATCGTCCCAGAAACGTCCGTCAGGATAATCGCGCTCTTGTTTGCTCGCGTGCGCTTGTTCCATCGATCCGCATTTTCCTGCACGTGTATCCTTCGTCGTCCTTCTCTTTGTTAAGTTATCAACCGCGCGATATCTCCGGTTCCAGACGACTTCCAGACGGTCGTCGGGTCGAATTACTAATAATTACTGGTCATTTGCGTATCACGAGCCGATCGGGTACGAATCCACGTTCGCGGAACGCTGCGTTCGCGTGACCCCTGCTACTACTCGTTCCACACGGTGGATCAGCGATTTTCAGATAGAATATGCGAACCGGGGTTCCTTGATCTACAGGGTGGCTTAATTGTCCCGTATCATTAATATTAATTTGCGTCGCAGATTAAGAATGGTTTGAGCGGGACAAATTGGTCGTTAGTCCGAGAAAATCGCACAACTTTTGATTGGACTGAGATAGCGGGATGAAACTTTGCTCGAATCGGTGCTGAAATGTTGTTGAATAAGGGAGAAAGAAGCTGGACGAGTGACGGATATCGGGTTGTCCGGAAAGAAATTGAGTTTCTTTGCCAACCAACTTCATCAATTGCAATTTAAAGTTGACTTTGGATACCGTTCCGGATCGCGCAGGTTAAATCGAAGTCGAATTATTATAGGAATCAGCCACCTGTTACGATTATTCTGCGACAGTGTTGCCAAACGATATCTTATTCGTAGCGACCTCATCCTCGCTGCCAACGTTTCATCATCGACTTGGCAAACGAGCCAGAGATTCTACTTTGCGTAGACGATATTCGATACCCGCGTAAATTTTGGAAATCCTCATTGATCGCTATTGAATCATTCGCCTCTCCTACGAATCAGCTCGATTAACGTTCGTTCGCATAAAATTTACTTCGAACTTACTATCTCTTACTCACTCCCAGAATCCTCAGTTTATATTCAAAGGGATATCTGCATCTTGCGAGATGTTCGGGGAACTTCAAACGACACTACTGACGTTAACACATTCTCCTGGGGGATGAAACTAACGTGGATTTGTAGATCGGAATCCCCTCTTTACAACGACACCTTAAAAACTGTCGTACGACTTTTTTCCGCCGTTTTATCGAACTTTGAACGGTGAGTGTGCTGTCGTCGTTATGACAGTTTAAAGATCGACAATTATCTCGTCGAAAGTACAGTGTCCTTGGATTTTGTACGTCAGTGTGCTTTCAACAAGCATCGTTCACGGTGTTGACAAAGACTAGCAACATTTGCATTTGTCAATTTTTGCAAATTTTTCCTAGTTCTGAAAGGAAGAACGTCGTTGCTCCGAAATTCAAGAATATATACAAATCGGTTCTATGGCTTTTAAAGAGGAAAATAACTTGTGGATCACCCTGTACAATATTTTCACGGAACGCGCGAGGGGTTGAATCCGAGGAGGAACCGTCGTCTGCGTAGATAGGCGTCTTGGAAAGCGAAGAAAGCGGAAGTGGGGCGACGGATTTTTCAGATATCGATTTGGTCCAGCGACGCCATGGGGTCGTTGCCGAAACCGTGGCGCCCCTCGGTCGCCATTTTCCTCGCCTTATTGCCCCGTAGTGTTCGTTCCATCCGCGTCCAGCTTTCTCGGTTTATCGGTCGGCCCGCCGATAACAGCGCCGGTGAACGAGCCTCGTAAAACATTGTCGGGCTGTGGCATTATCGTTGCCTCCCCTAACCTAGTTATCTAGGATGTTTGCGTCGCTTTACGAGTTACGTTCATCTCCCCTTCCTCGCGCTTCCTTCGTTCATCCTGTCCTTCGGGGATCTACAGGGTGTAGAGCACAGTTTTCCAACCCTTTCGCTCGCTATATCCTTTTCGAGTCTTCTCCGATTCTGTCGTAACCGAATTCTACTTGTTTAAGTCTCTCATCTTTCAGCTCGAGCTGTTTCCTGATGATACAATGACAAAAAATCAATATTGGGAAAACGAATTAGTATACAGGATATTCAGCAGAACGCTGTTCTTGTCCGCGCTGCCTCAAAGTGCAAAATTCTTGCAAGAATTTCGAAAAAGAATTGACGCGTCCACCATGTTGCTTTCGTAAGGCGGATGCATTTTATAATTGTATGGCAGTCATTACTAAATCCATTCAAATCCTAAGGTACCATTCTTTTTTTCGATATTTTCCAACTAAATTCTCTGATGTCTGTGTTGAACCTTTTATTCGATTTAATCTAAATTGTTAATAATTTGAACCAGCGACTGAACAAATTAGATGATACATTTTTATCTCTGGATAAAAATGGATCCAAGACCCGTCATCCGAAGGTTAAGAACATCGCCGTCTGCTTTATGAATGTTTTTCGGTAGACAAGCTTGCTCGGATTCCGAAGTTTCGGATCGTGCTGTAGCCCCGAAATCGCAGCGGACAGCAAGTTTAATATTAGACGCGTCGATAGCCCATTTTCCAGGGAAATTTTAGCAATTTCCACATACACGGCGACGGGACAAGGCCGCGAAATCAGGCCAGCAGGTTCGATTAAGTGGCTGTATTAATAAATCAGCTGGGACAGGCTCGTTTCTGCGATCACGCGACCGCTGAAAGTCGATCGTGGCTTGTGCGGTAGTGGTCAAGGGGTGCGATAGCGTATTGGGGTCGTGTTTGACTGCGGTACCGTCCTTCGTTCGGACAAATACCGGCCCTTTTTATTTCACGATAGCCGCAGAACGAAAGAACCATCGTCCATTTCAGCGATAAAACCGAGGATTTAGATCGAGTTCCTTTCGCAAGCAATTATAATCGAGTGCGCTTTAATTTCACTTCGATCGAGGCGTCGGTGTAAAGATTATACACTGGCAAGAAGTTTTATAACTCAAACATTCGTTAATATTGTAACTTTCCGTGGCGCTAATTAGGACGTGTTTGCCTGAGTAAATTACGGATACTTCCGCGTGGTAGAAATGTTCTGTATCGTTGATGAAAGAAGAATCGTAGATGAAAGAAAAATTGATTTCCTTTCCCAGGAACATGAATAAATTAAGTGTAATCGTGACATGCTGCGAACGCATAAAATCTGAAGCGAAGAAAACGAAAGTCTTTCGAAGCAGACAGGAGATCGTAAAACGCGATCGCGATGGCAGTAGTGGAAGTTGCTGTTGACCCAATTCTCTGTTCGAGGAGAAAGATCGAAGCAATGCAAATGTCTACCCGTTTTTCGAGGAACTCGGTTCCCTAGTTCGTCGAGGAATTGCTGCAACCGATGAGTCATTCTCCGCCGCAGAGGAAAGGGGTGCAAGTTTACGATCACTACTCAAGTATCCACCCCTTTGCGAGCGACCAAAATCTGTGCATAATTTTCAAGCTCTGCTGTTCGAGATTCTTTTGTCATTGTTTGAAGAACGTGCAGAATTATTGAAGAAAGTATATTTTTCTACTCACTTGTTCTCTGATTTCTTTTAAAAACAATTAAAGCAAGCGAAGTCTGGAGAGAGCTGACACCCTGGAATCGCAAGGCGAAGGTTTAGCTTAAACTATCTTTTCGTTCTTATTCGCGAACGGGAAAAACCCATTAGTTACATAATTTATAATTAAATAAAGAAGTGCCAAATAGATAAAAGAAGCGGCGAGATTTGAGGAGTCGGAATACACGCGTGAACATAAAAGATTTTATTGACACAAAAATCAATAGCACATAGAAAACTAGGACACTTAGTTTGGCCATGTAAGATCTTGAAAAGAAATAACAGATCGGCAGTCGCTCTTCTGCATATTAAAGACACAAAATTGAATTGCTCTGATCTTGCGAGATTCTTCAGGGTGGTAATAATAGGATGATAAAAATTCGATGATGGTTAACGATTTTGTTAAAAATGTTTTTGCTATTGTTTTGCGCAGGTCCACGCGAAGCACGAGGAGAAGACAGAGAGCAAATCGGTGTACCGGGAGTACAACCGCGAGTTCCTGCTGCCGAAGGGAACCAACCCCGAGAGCATCAAATCCTCGCTGAGCAAGGATGGTGTCCTGACCGTGGAGGCTCCTCTTCCGGCGATCGGATCGGGCGAGAAGCTGATCCCGATCGCGCAGCAGTAAAATCATCGGCGCGATTCGAAAAAGAAAGCTGACGAACGCGCGAGAACGAGACACCCTCAAGAAAACCTTCCCCAAAATTCCAGCATCCGTGCGTCCGTGTCAGATCGCTGCTTCCTGTCCTGTTCCTCGTGAACTCTAACCGTCGTAAGTCCCGGACACTCCTCTAACATTCTATTCTTTTCTAATCTTCTTCGTTCGTTTCTCTTTATTTCGATCCACCCGCCGCGATCTCTTCCGTCTTTCATTTTCCGTTTCCCCGACCTCCGAGGGTGTCAAACCCTCCTAGGTAGTAAACAGAAGTTCCACCATCTTGGTCCCTGAATAATTACGAGTCCAACGAACGATTTCTCGCGCGGTTCGAATCGAGATCGAGAATGTTAACAGAAACAACCGATAGGGAAAACGATAATCTTCGGATCCCGTTTGATACGCGTTTTTAAAGGTCACGGATCGTCGACCGGTCTTCTTTTTTTTTTACAGAGAAACGATTCCATTGGATCGATCAAAGCTAGATAATCAAATCGTGGGCAAGGGAGATCGTTCGCTCGGAGACCGCGGGAACGTTCGTTCGTTCGTCGAACCGCCTAGTTTTGTATAAATCTTGAATAAATGTTTGATACGCAACTTCTTTCGATCGGGTTCGAGGTACATACTCTGCTAAACCGCGTTTAGATCGGGCGACTTTTGGCGGTCGATCAACAAGAAATGCACAAATTGGTCTAAAAGATCACACATCGATTTTAACCATTAAATAATGAATCTTCGGTTTTCCAACGACTGCGCCATGATTAGTTATTAAGGTATCTTCGATCGAATCATCTGTCTTTGATTCTGAAAGAATTGTTGTGCAGCTAATGCATTAGGGTTGACCGATCGGAAGCCGTTCCGGCCAAAAGTTGCCTGATCTAGACGAGGCTTTCAGGGATCGAATGGCGGATCAGTCCAAGACCAGTCGTTTAGGGTTTCGCGACGCAAAAACGAAAAAGTAAACGATTAGGATCGTTGAGGCGTGAGAGCGGCGCGTTGGACGCCGCTGTTATTTGTAGGAGAGAATATTTGATAAATTATTCTTGATTTTTTGGTACGAGCAGCTTTTTTGACGCTTTGATATATACTTCCTTTTTAGAAGTAACAGAAACTTTTTCAGGAACACGCATTGCCTTTGAAAATCGAAAAAAAGTCTATATATTGAGAAATATAATCTTGTAATCTTTTGGATGTTGTTTCTTGGGGGGAGAAATACACGAGCAGAAGCAGAACCGATAAATTCAATATTACTGTCGTGTGAAATCAATCGAACGGAAACGGAAGAGCGATCTTCCGTGAACGATAACTTATGTATGTGTTAGTTTTAGGTACTACGTTAAAAGACTATAACAAGAGAATGCTTAGAGTATGTAAGCATCGCTATGATGATAATTATGATGATGATGATGATGAGGATGATGATGATGATAATTACTATTATTATTTATGAATATTTTACTATTGTCGAGATACGTACAATGTTTAAAAGGTAATGCGAACAATGTGGAAGTTTAAATAAAAATAAACCTTCAAGGTGTTGGATCCTTTTTAATTCTCCAGGTGCTTCCAAAACCTTCTTTGGTTTCCAGTTTCCTTTCTCGAGATTTTCCTTTTTTCGAAGCTTTTTGAACCTTGACCAACTTTGCAGGAAACGAAGAAAATAGAATAGCTAGGGAGCGAACCTTTTTCAATTTTTACGTACTCTATAGCTTTTGTTTAGAGCGTCGGTAATTTTTGGATCTTGGAAAATTCTCGACTAAGAACAGAAAAATTCTTACTTTACAGTTACAATTTACAGAAAATTACATTTAAATTTTGTTGCAAAAGTCACGAACAGTTCCGTCTTATGAGCACCATCTTGATCGATCCCCTCCTCGTCCCTCAATCAACCAATAAACAATCGTGACAGTTAAGAAATTGTCTCCATAGTGGTGCCTTCAACTGGTAAGTTAACATCGCGTTTATTCAGTCGACGATTCGCAATGAGACGACATTTTTCAGTCGCATGAGTGGCTCCGCCCACCATCGACGACTACAACGGAAGGTTTGTGGTGCTTGGGAACTAATTCTTTCAGAAAAGAAACAAAAGTTCAATTAAAACACGAGATTTGTTCACGGGTTATCACAGTTTATTGGTTTATTATCGTAATCGTTTATTAACAAAATATTCTATCATCTTATGTACATGTATAGATCGTGTGAAACCATTATAAAATTAACGCACCGTACCTGGTTACATTGTTCAAAACATAGTCGTGTGAACGATTCGCGGTCGGCAAATATGCGATACAAATTTGACACATGCTGGAAATCGTCGACGAAACGAAATGACGCTGCACATAACGAACGCTAATAAAGCTCACCGCAGTTGCATTTAGAACCAATCGCAGGATGCTGAGCTGTTTCAATCCAGCACTCGTGATAACAAAAGATTTTATAAAATCGAGTATCATTTTTTATCTGCCGAAGATAATCGCATAGAGAGTTAGAATGTTTTTTAGCTGCAATGTTGTCGAACTACCTGCAACGTAAATACGCGAGGTTTCGCAGAGGAGTTAGTAGCTTAGTAATTTTGTGAACCAAGTTGCCATAAATCCTAGACGACCTTCGTCAACCAATCCGTTCGCTTCGATTTAAAACTGCCTTCAAGTATAAAAAATATACGATGATTAACACGCAATATTCAATATAAAAGCAATTATATATAGATAAAAGAATCTTAGAAACTGCTTTTGTTCATATACACGGATATGCAACAAGGTGGCGCGTTGTCCTCGAAACAGATAGAACGATCATTCTGCATACATTCGATAAATTTCAAATATTTGAAGACCGACAATGATTTTAGATTCTAAAAAAATGAACGTTTCATTATATTCGTTCATCTGGGAATCAAAACTTCTAGCTTGGTCAATATTCAGAAAATAGTGAAAATATAATGAAAATATTTGAAGTTCGTCAACTGTACACTGACTTTCGTAACCGACTCTAGTATCCGTTCTAATATCTGAAATCAAATTACAACATACAACATAATCGACGTGTCTAACGCTTATACTACTCGTTTACTGTTTTGGTATATAACATACTGACTGGATATCATCGTGTCAAAAGGCGATAAAAAGCATCGACGCTATCGACCGTTAATAAATATCATATAAAACAGACGAGGTTTTGAGACCAATGTTCATGCTCGATTCGCAGAGGGATTTCAAAACGGGAACCTCTCTCTCGCTCTCTCCGTGCATTCGTGCCATTTTCTGTAATGGTTCCGAGGTAATATTGTTTTGTTCGTTTCAACTCGACAGGAGACCTCGAGGATACGAATTCGTATGAAAATGTTTTGTTGCGCGGAAAGTCTATCGTTCCTAGAATAAAATTCACGCTTCCCTACCTAGGGCATGGGGCACGGATTTCTTTATGGAGCACCGGCTCCTTCGTTCTTCAGTTTTGATAAACTATCTTTTCAGATTATTATCGGAACGCGACACGGATGTCGAACGTTCGAGTCCTCTATTGCTGTCGCCATCGTTGTCGTTTGGCTTCGGAGCTGTTTGCTCCGGAGCTTTGCACTCGTGGCACCTGTTGGCCACAGGTGAGCCTGTCCTACATGTTCGGTATCTCTGCAGAGAAAAGAGGCGCATCGGAAGCCGTGAAGGTCGGCGATTTGCCTTCTCTGGCAATGCGAAGGGCTTGGTGAACGGACACCGTGTCCAACTCCTTTTGATTAGGTATCTCATTATCTAAACATATATCGGCTGCCCTCTTGCCAAACGGTTCCAACACCTTCACCCTGTAGTCGACGATAGTCGACACAGGGTTACCGGTTAATCTCAGATTTTCCAAGCACGGCAGGTGTCCAATGTTCTTCACTTCTTCGATCTTTTCTATTCGGTTACAGCTGACGTCCAAACCCTCGAGCGAGTATAATTTTGAAAAACTGGACAAGGAGGTCAGCTTGTTCTGAGACAGGTCAATGTAGACGATGTAACCAAGCCTCGTGTGGAGGTCGTCAGGAAGTGTTGTGAAGTTGTTCGACGCCAGGTACAAGTGGGAGAGTCTCGGTAACAAGGTCACGTTTGAAATTTCCGACAGAAGGTTGTTGTTTAGAGTTAGACACTCTATGTGCGGCAGTAACTTGATCGCCTCGTCTATCACTTCTATCCGATTGTCGCTCAGGTCTAGATGAGAGACTTTTAGCCAAACGTGGGAATCGTTCGCGTTCTCCATGCCCTTGTGCACCTCCTCGCACATCGCGAACTCAACGATGTTCCTCAGCTTCGTGTGGTTCACCGTCAACCTTACAACAGTGTCCCTAAGATTGCCCATGTTGTAGATCTTCTCTACCGGGTACTGATCAATCGTTAGGTCCTCTATGTTTTTGAAGCTGGACAATTCTATCGGCAGCGCCGATGTGTCGATATTGCTGGCTTTGTAGGGCTCTGAGTTACTTTCGATTATCAGTCCAGTTAAATGGGAATTGAAGTCTAGAACGTGGCTGAAGTCGTACTTTTTATCTACCACCTCCAACAGCGAACAAGGTTGTTTCAATCGCTCGCTAATCGCGTACAGCTAAAAAACAAACGTTTCGTTAGATCTGTTATCGAGTAAAAACTTGGAGATGTTTCCTCACCTGTAGAGGATTAAATTTATAGGTCTTTGATTTTTGCAGGAGACTATCACCCTCTGTGAAGAACTCCAAAGCCATGCTCTGCAGTAAGAAAAATATATCGTACACATGCAGATCTAAGAACACAGCCAATTCTCTAGGCATTGCTTTCTTTAAATAGTGGTAGACTGCGCTCAGATAGACCTCCAGGCTCATTCTCCTCTTTTCCACAAAGGCTTCGCACTTGTAGCCTATCAGTTTCTTTGGTGGCAGGATATCCTTTTCGACGCAGTGCTCTGTCACAAGCTTATAGTGCATCTCTGCAAAGTCACGGTATCTGTAATTAGTGGACAATATTATTGTATACAAAATTTTATACATTAAATGTGTAAAATGTGTTATGTTCGGCAAAATATATTATTGTTTCAAGTCTGGCATCGAGAACTTTGCTTAATCACGCAACAACGATTACATGCTAATTGGTGTATAATAGCGTGCGAGATCTTGAATAGACCCGAAACAAAAAGCTGTTTTGATCGTGACTCCAAGACCATTTTTTCAAAGGCACGTATCAATGAATATGTCGATGTGGCAATAGTCTAGAGTTCTTTTAGAAGCACTGAAGTCGCATAATATTTTTCCAAGGACAAAGTGACGTTTGTAGTATGTAGGTCATTGTGCCTTTGGGACACTAGCTGCTCACCTGTGTCTCACAGTCCATTTGATTGAAGCAATCCCAACCTCGATGCAATAGTAAGTTACCCCATCGACGACTTCCGTTGACGGTATTTTGATCTGAACATCGTCCTGATTCAGCAAAAGAGACGCCATCCTGAGGAGGAAGTGGTCCCAACGATCGTACGTGGCAATAGTTACTGTTTTTCGATCGGGCCAAGAGGTTATCCTGGATCAAGACGAGAGCTGGCAATGTCGGCTGGTTTGCATCAGAGGGAGGGACCAGTGATATCCGTCAGATGCATCGTACTCTGTTGTTTTTATGGTGCCGCCTTTTTCCTGGATCCTTCTCCCGCTACGTGGTGCAATTTCTGTGGAGTGTACATCTTTGACAGCGACTCGCGTTGTCACGATCTCGAATACGTAGTGATTTTATCTGGGGGGCGATCTGCTTTACCGTCCAAGCGAGAGCGCCAGCGATTTGAATTATGAATTTCGATATAGTCGATTCACGAAACTTCCGACAACTTTTAATTTTCCATAAAAACTATTGCAGCCTATTTCTTGTGGTTCAAAGTGGCTTCTAGCATATTACGTGGGCCTGTAAATATATCTGTATCATAATTTCTTGTTAAAGCTGCTTCTGATCGTGGTAACTAATTAAAATCAAATTACAGTGGATCATTTTGATATATCTGGTAGTTGTACATGTTATTTGATTCACAGAGAAAAGCGTTGCGCGTCCAAAAAACATTTGAAACATTCAACTGTATTGTACAATGTTTAAATAATATTTATATCGTTCTTTTTTCGAGAGTTTGAATTAGATTGAAATCAGACTATACCAATGCTTCTGTCACGTTTACAACACGGTACAGCACGGGTTTGTAAATTGACGCGGAACAAAAAACCAGGTAGAGCAAATAGAAGCAGGTGCAGTTGCGGCTCAATGAGAGACTAGTTCGAGTTTGAGTCGTATCTGTACAACAGGTAGTCCACAGCTGGCATTGTTCTTGAACGGTGGAGGATCCGTCGGATCGCAGTGGCGTAGATCGGGGAACATGTTGCAGGGATTTTTTGGTTTCGAGGTAAAGAACCGGAGAGACTTTTACTGAATCCCGTGTGTGTTCGTGAACAGTCCAGCTGACGCGGCCATTAACGCTTTCATTCGGTCGTTTTGCGGATGGTCGGAGATCCTCGCCTTGGGCATTATCCGCGCACAAAAGGTACATCAAAGGTACACAGAAGGTACACAAGCGGCGCTTAACGGGAAATGAAAGTATCCGCACAATGGTCTTTCCGCGTTTCCCTTTGATAAGGTTCAATGGTTAATAACTCCATTTCGTTGCAAATGCACCGCGACGAGGCAAAGCGGGACAGAGTGATGGCAAACGTGAAGCGGTCGCACGGTCTTCGGTTTTATTTTCATTAACTCTTGTCATAGGAGCCCTCACGCAAACCTAACATTCTTTGCTTGAAACGCGACGAGCTAGATTCGCATACGTAGAAAGTTCGTTTAGCGTACTCTTCGGTGTAACTTTCTGAAGCTGCGGCATGTACTTTGGAAGCTGCAGTCTAAACTTATGCAGAGCAGAAATTCGGGGAAAGTTGGCTGAACGATGCTCGACTTTGCGATTATCGGAGGAAGGATCGCCGGGTGATTCGGCTCTTCCATTAGAGAGACGAAATTCTGATTACGCCATTGCAGCAACAGGTTGTCGCCAATGCGAACCGCCATGAATGGGCGCGTTCTTCCATTCGATAGCGGCCGACCTGCCACCGATCTCTTTAATTCGCGATCTGTTTCGATCCAATTGCCAGCTGCTAATCTCTCCGGATTCTTCGACAATTTTTTTCTAAATCGAACACTTCTCTCTCTCTCTCAAAGTTTCCTTGCGGTACGCAGATGTTTCCAAGCTCTAGCTAACAAACTTTGTATCCTCTCTTGCAACCGGGTCAAAACTGCCTTCTACGTGAGATCTTCGACAAATCCCGAATTATCGAAAGCGATAAACCTTCTCTGAAACTCCCGTAGTATTTGCATGAAAGAATCCTTCTAGGAAAGGTCGATAAGAACGGTGCCTGCAGCCCGGTTTCCGCGAACGATTATCAAATTAGTTGAAAATCCTGTACAGATGCGTGCCGACGATAGCAGTAATAGGGAGAGGCAAGAAGGAAAGGGAACCGAGGTATAAATAATGCAAAGGCGAGCCGAATGATGACGGTGGGGAGCAAGTTCTCTCTCGACAGAGTCGGTAGTGATCGGGACATATCGGCGCTGGCATGGCGTTTACGCCACTGGAAATCGGTGGATGCTGCGTCAGGAGCAGCAATGGCGGCACTGGCTTACCTGGCCAGTATACCTACCTATCCTCCCTCCCCTTCCGTTCTCACTGTGGTCACGTTCCTCAGGGCAACCCGACGAACCTGTTGCCCGTTCTCATCCAGTGTCGTGTCGCTTTCACGGCGGTCGTGCGTGGTTCATCGCGGCTCTGTTCCTCTCCAACGTTCTCCACCGATAATCGATCCTCGGGATCCTCCGGATCCACTAGATCGTCGGAATCGTTCGTTTTACCTTGGACAGCCTCGGCAATTCGCACTCGAACGAATCCGGCACGCCCGAGCATCGAAAAATCGTGTTCACCATGGGGAATCGGCGGTGCTAAGTGCGAATTACCAGTTCGTCGAAGAGATAAGAGGAAGTCTCGGACTCGGTGTTCCTCGAAAATTACCTCAGCAACGCCCGACCGGTCCCAGAGACACGATGGAACCGCCTCGTCAGCAGCGCTCGATCGCGTACGCAGAGACCTCGAGGATCGTGTCGCAACTCCGACTCCGATCGAAGAGATCGGCGTCCCTCGTCCGACGCTAAGGATGCTAGAATCGTCGTCCGAAGAGTCCAGAGCTCGTTCAAATCGTCGGAGGATCGTTCGGAGCTCGAGAGGCTTCGCGGTTTAGGCGAACACCGAAACACCGCTTCTTCGGTGTTTCTCCTGTTTTCGATCGTGAGCGATAGCGATTTTTGCATTCCGAAGGCTCGGCGCATTGGAATCCACGGGTCTCGAATCTCGTGGGAAACTGCGGGACCTCGATCTCGACGATTTCTTGCCTCTCGGCCGAGCATCGGTGATGTACGAAACGTTCCGGCAATCGATGTTTCATCCGATTCGTCAGAAGTCCTGAGCGCGCGGCGTGATCGTTGGAATTCGTAATCGGTGGTCGCTGTATCTGCACAGCTGGGAGTTCGGAATCGTTGCCGAGGAAGAGAGCTCGCGATTTCTCGGTTTTTGCGGTGACGCGATCGGCGGACGTCTCGACGAGGTCGCGGACCAACGAAAAAACGGAATCGTTCCTGTAAGAGTGAAACGCACCAAGTTGGTTGGCGCGTTGGTTGGTTCTCTGTGTGTGTGTCGGTGTTCCTCTCTGTGTGTTTGTGTGGTTCTCGCTCGCGCGAGGTGCAGTGAAGTAAAGTCCAGTGAGTCGTGTGTACCGTTTCTGGACGTCCATTACGGCTCGCTTCGGCCTACGTGCGGCGATCTTCCAGCACGGTAAGATTCGTGTATGCACACAGAATGATTCGTTTCGATGGAAGTTACCAATACAGGCAATACAGCTTTCCACGATTTTACACCACTTGGATGGACTCAACACCGTTGAGATCCACTTTACACCGTTGGATCCACTCAAAATCTTGCAGAACAATTTTCTTTTCGGCACTTCTTCAGTTCATTTTGAATTTCATGTTTCATCCTCCCGTTCGGTCTAGTATAAAGAAACTAATGATTTAAATTGATCGAGCAGCAAATTAGAACGATGGCTACTTCGAATATACCCTTGGTTTTTCCAAAAATTTCACGAGCGAAGTATTAAGGGGACCGGAAAGTAATGTCGTTTCCGCGCATATTTATCTGTTTGAATTTAATGTAAACAAACGACATAACTTTCCGGCCCCCCTAATAGAAATAATATTTTACCCATGGTCTATTTATTGGAATAATACTCTGAATTGTGCAAGTCGTTGCTCGTTTGGATAGCAACGTGCGCGATTCTCGAATAAACAAAGAATAAGGTAAAGGATACCTTGTTACCAGAACGTTCACGGTCGGTTCTCCGTGGGACACCCAGTGTGCAGGTTTAGGAGCTAACTAATTCCTTCATTACCTCGTCGGAGAACCGGCCAGCCGTAAAAGTCACCGAAAATACCCTCCACAATGGCATAGAATGCTCGGAGCAAAAAGGCCTTTGCTTNGTACCGTTTCTGGACGTCCATTACGGCTCGCTTCGGCCTACGTGCGGCGATCTTCCAGCACGGTAAGATTCGTGTATGCACACAGAATGATTCGTTTCGATGGAAGTTACCAATACAGGCAATACAGCTTTCCACGATTTTACACCACTTGGATGGACTCAACACCGTTGAGATCCACTTTACACCGTTGGATCCACTCAAAATCTTGCAGAACAATTTTCTTTTCGGCACTTCTTCAGTTCATTTTGAATTTCATGTTTCATCCTCCCGTTCGGTCTAGTATAAAGAAACTAATGATTTAAATTGATCGAGCAGCAAATTAGAACGATGGCTACTTCGAATATACCCTTGGTTTTTCCAAAAATTTCACGAGCGAAGTATTAAGGGGACCGGAAAGTAATGTCGTTTCCGCGCATATTTATCTGTTTGAATTTAATGTAAACAAACGACATAACTTTCCGGCCCCCCTAATAGAAATAATATTTTACCCATGGTCTATTTATTGGAATAATACTCTGAATTGTGCAAGTCGTTGCTCGTTTGGATAGCAACGTGCGCGATTCTCGAATAAACAAAGAATAAGGTAAAGGATACCTTGTTACCAGAACGTTCACGGTCGGTTCTCCGTGGGACACCCAGTGTGCAGGTTTAGGAGCTAACTAATTCCTTCATTACCTCGTCGGAGAACCGGCCAGCCGTAAAAGTCACCGAAAATACCCTCCACAATGGCATAGAATGCTCGGAGCAAAAAGGCCTTTGCTTCTTTATTTAATCGACGCGCGACGGTTGAACGATCGTTTCCCCAACGAGCGTGAGCCCGATCGTTCTCGGCCGAGTGCTAACGACACGACAAGAATTCGAGAGGCCGCCCACCACTGAAATGCCTACCTGCATTTGCCCACCTTCTCCCGAGGTTATGAGTCACGAGGCCGTCGTGTCGCACGCTTTACCAAATATCCCGACATTTTGTCACGCGTTCCATCCATTCTCGATCACCGTCGACGGCCTCCGCGTTCCTTCATAGTTCGCGCATGCCGACAACATTCGATTCATTTGTTTAAGATTCCTTTCCGAAATGTGAACATTTCTATGTAAAACGGTCTTCAAAGCTTCACACCTCCACAGGATTACAATAATAGTCGATCAACGAGCGAACTCGTAGTTCTATTACATTCGTTCTAAAAA